CCTTGAAATAGTTTGAATGCAATTATGTTGCAGAAATCTGATAGGGATAAGATTAAAAAAACAGGGTAATTATCTTTCACAAACATCCTACAATTGCAGATGTTTCATAATCTCACTTTTACCCCTTCTGCCATGTAAGCCCGCTAGGCTAAATTAATTCCAGGTGTAATATATCTGAAATCAGTGGAGTTACACTGGGGAGGAATATGGTTCAATATTTTCCAACGAGAATGAAACTCTCTTGACAACTTCTTCAGCTTTACTCTCTGTGTCAGTCTGTAGGGGATGCTGTCTCTCACTGCCTCAAGGAACAAGTTCATTCTGTCTGTGGAACGTAGTCTCATATATCATAAGGACATAATATGCACAGCAGTGTGGGGGAAAGGCCTATAGAGTTTCTCACCAAGCTTATATTGTTCTGAGTTTTATCACGCAAGGACAATCCCTATTCACATTCAGGGATGCACATACAGTATATTATCATGTGCACTGAGAGGAAAATAAACCCTACTGTGTTTACACTTTATTAAAATAGAAGTAATTCTAGTGCCAGCCCATTCTTTAAATTATGTGATCCTCTCAAATGATTGTAGTTTCTGAAGGCTGCCAGTCTGTTCTGAATGGAAGGCAGTTTGGGCTGTCATTAGGACCTGCCTAATAACAAACACATAACCTCAAATCAGATGGAATAATCTCATATACTGTGTTCTTGGAGGATTTACTAAGATTTACTTTGTCTGCAATATGAATTCCTGACGTTTTAGCTGTCACTCTTTTCTCATGTAGAAAAGCCAGGATTATATGTACCTAGTGCTTTGTATGTACAGTTCACCCCTATGAAGGTTTATCTGAGAGTGACATTTGGTATGAAGCAGTTATCAGCACAGCTAATATTTTGTTGTTGTTGCTAGTAGCTATATCTAACAGAATCACGGCACATTCTACCAGACGGTATAATTTACACAAGAGTTCCTCTTACTAAATGAGCATCAGATTGGTTTCTATAGTAACATTGATAAAGCCATACTTAAAGCTTCATATGTTGAATTCCAGTAAAAGGTCATCTGATGCTACCATTTTAAAAATTCATTTTTGTTGACGTGGGGTCCAGAAGTGCCACCGAGGATCACGGCCTGATTGTGCTAGACACAATACAAACATGAAGGAAGACAGTCCCAACCTCACAGAGCTTATAATTTGCACATGAGATACACATTTCATAGCTCACTCACTTCTGTAATAGGCCAAACCAAATCCCGGGATCCAAACACACGTGAACTTGGTGGGGTTCAAAATTAGTATCTAGAACTTTTATTACAATTCAGGCCCATCTCTAGTGAAAACAGTGGAAATTAGACAGTTCCCAGGGAATTAACTGATATCTCAATAATAAGTATTTAGCAGTAGGAATATATTACCAACAGCCTGACCAGGATAGTGATAGTGACTGTGAAATGCTCAGGGAGATTAGAGAGGCTATTAAAATAAAATACTCAATAATAATGGCGGATTTCAGCTATCCCCATATTGACTGAGTACATAACACTTCAGGATGGGATGCAGAGATAAAGTTTCTTGACACCTTAAATGACTGCTTCTTGGAGTAGCTAGTCCTGGAACCCAGAAGAGGAGAGGCAATTCTTGATTTAGTGCTAAGTGGAACACAGGATCTGGTCCAAGAGGTGAATATAGCTGGACCGCTTGGTAATAGCGACCATAATATAATTAAATTTAACATCCCTGTGGTGGGGAAGACACCACAATGGCCCAACACTGTAGCACTTAATTTCAGAAAGGAGAACTACACAAAAATGAGGAGGTTAGTTAAACAAAGTAAAAGGTACAGCACCAAAAGTAAAATCCCTGCAAGCTGCATGGAAACTTTTTAAAGATACCATAATAGAGGGTCAACTTAAATGTATACCCCAAATTAAAAAACATAGTAAGAGAACCAAAAAGAGCCACCATGGCTAAACAACAAAGTAAAAGAAGCACCGAGAAGCAAAAAGGCATCTTTTAAAAAGTGGAAGTTAAATCCTAGTGAGGAAAATAGAAAGGAGCATAAACTCTGGCAAATGAAGTGTAAAAATATAATTAGGAAGGCCAAAAAAGAATGTGAAGAACAGCTAGCCAAAGACTCAAAAAGTAATAGCAAAAAAATTTTTTTAAAGTACATCAGAAGCAGGAAGCCTGCTAAACAACCAGTGGGACAACTGGAAGATCGAGATGCTAAAGGAGCACTCAAGGATGATAAGGCCATTACGGAGAAAATAAATGAATTCTTTGCATCGGTCTTCATGGTTGAGGATGTGAGGGAGATTCCCAAACCTGAGCCATTCTTTTTAGGTGACAAATCTGAGGTACTGTCCCAGATTGAGGTGTCATTAGAGGAGGTTTTGGAGCAAATTGATAAACTAAACAGTAATAAGTCACCAGGGCCACATGATATTCACCCAAGAGTTCTGAAGGAACTCAAATGCAAAATTGCAGGACTACTAACTATCATCTGTAACCTATCATTTAAATCAGCTTCTGTACCAAATGACTGGAGGATAGCTAATGTGATGCCAATTTTTAAAAGGGGCTCCAGAGGTGACCCCAGCAATTACAGGCCAGTAAGCCTGACTTCAGTACCGGGCAAACTGGTTGAAACTATAGTAAAGAACAAAATTGTCAGACACATAGATGAATATAATTTGTTGGGGAATAGTCAACATGGTTTTTGTAAAAGGAAATCATGTCTCACCAATCTACTAGAATTCTTAGAGGGGGTCAACAAGCATGTGGACAAGGGGGAATCCAGTGGATATAGTGTATTTAGATTTTCAGAAACCCTTTGACAAGGTCCCTCACCAAAGTAAGCAGTCATGGGATAAGAGGGAAGGTCCTCTCATGGATTGGTAACTGGTTAAAAGATAGGAAGCAGAGGGTAGGAATAAATGGTCAGTTTTCAGAATGGAGAGAGGTAAATAGTGGTGTCCCCGAGGGGTCTGTACTGGGCCCAGTCCTGTTCAAGTTATTCATAAATCTGGAAAATAAGTAAACAGCGAGGTGGAAAATTTGCAGATGATACAAAACTACTCAAGATAGTTAAGTCCCAGTGTAGTGGGATGGTCACCCGCTCCTGCCCTGAGGGGTTTAAAACAGCCCTGGAGGAGGGCTGTGGAAGGGCAAGACGCCTGGGCTGATTGGGAGGAAGCAGGCTCAGCTGGGGCCATGCCCCAGTCAGGGCCCAGCTGGCCCTATAAAGGCTTGAGCAAGGAGCTCAAGCAGAAAGCAGTCTCTCTCTGACTTGAGAGGGAGACAGGCCTGGCTGCTGGGGAACTCACCCAGGGGACCTAGAGGGAGGCAGGGCTGGGGAAAGGCCTTAGGAGCTGGGAAGCCCTAGGCCAGCAACTCCCCAGGCTGCAGGGCCTAGTTCTAGGCCGGCCTAGTTCTAGGCCCACCTAGGCATTGGGCTTGCAGAGGGGCAGCCGGAGGGTGGGTAAAGGCAGCCAGTCCAAACCCCGTGTTGCCTATGATGATCGGCTGATAGACTGCAATCCGTCCCAGGGTGCGGGGGCTAAATGGAGACTAGCACTAGCCATGACTGAGGTGGGGATATGGGGGTGGGGGTTCAACTGGGGTGGGGAAACCCAGTAAGACGGTGGGGTACTGCAGGAGGCAGAACCCTGAGATAAGGGCACTGGGGTCCTGGGAGGGACACGGGGGGGGGGGGGCAATGGCAAGCGGATCACCGGCCTGCAGAGGGCGTTCCTGGGTCGTAGAGCTAATTCCTGAGGATGACCAGCAGGAGGTGCTGCAGGGGTGAGTCTGCACTGTGCTACACCCAGGCAGACTGCGAAGAGCTACAAAAGGATCTCTCAAAACTGGTGACTGGGCAACAAAATGGCAGATGAAATTCAATGTTGATAAATGCAAAGTAATACACATTGAAAAACATAATGCCAACTATATGTATAAAATGATAGGGTCTAAATTAGCTGATCTCAAAAAAGAGATCTTGGAGTCATTGTGGATTGTTCTCTGAAAAATCCACTCAATGTGCAGCAGCAGTCAAAAAGGTGAACAGAATGTTGGGAATCATTAAGAAAGGAATAGATAATAAGACAGAAAATATCATATTGCCTCTATATAATCCATGGTACGCCCACATCTTGAATACTGCATGCAGATGTGGTCGTCCCATCTCAAAAAAGATATATTGGACTTGGAAAAGGTTCAGAAAAGGGCAACAAAAATGATTAGAGGTCTGCAGCATCTGCCATATGAAGAGAGATTAATAAGACTGGGACTTTTCAGCTTGGAAAAAAGACGACTAAGGGGGGATATGATAGAGGTCTATAAAATCATGACTGGTGTTGAGAAAGTAAATAAGTGTTTACTCCTTCTCATAACACAAGAACTAGGAGTCGCCAAATGAAATTAACAGACAGCAGGTTTAAAACAAACAAAAGGAATATTTTTTCACACAACACACAGTCAACCTGTGGAACTACTTGCTAGAGGATGTTGTGAAGGCCAAGACTATAACAGGGTTCAAAAAAGAATTAGATAAATTCATGGAGGACAGGTCCATCAATGGCTATTAGCCAGGGTGGGCAGGGATGGTGTCCCTAGCCTCTGTTTGCCAGAAGCTGGGAATGGGTGACGGGGGATGGATCACTTGATGATTACCTGTTCCATTCCCTCTGGGGCACCTGGCATTGGCCACTGTCTGAAGACAGGATACTGGGCTAGATGGACCTTTGGGCCGTTCTTATGTTCTAAGGGTCAGCACCATTATTCTTACCCTTAACCATTTTTTTTTGTTGATACAAAGAAGTGGCGATAGTAGGGAATATGACGTCCTATGCACATGGTGGGACAGCAGATTTTCCCCAAATTCTACAAACATATTCAGGTTGTGTTTAGCCATCTCATTTGTTTCTACAGCACTTTTATTTCAGAGAAAGGCAGGAAGTTGTATTTATGCATGTACAATATTGAGGTTTACTTACAGTAGGGTTACATTGCTTGAAACAAGTGGAACAGCTTTTAAATTAACAGCTACACATTCTAGTTCAGTTTCTATGCAATCACAAATTTCTGGATACTGGAGGAGACCTAGAGGGGGAAAAAAAGCATTTATGACTGTGTAACATATGGATTATGATCTGCTTAATACAGATTGTTTGTGTCTTTTTAAGACCTTCCTTCAGAAAAGGAGTGGCCATTTATATGGATCACAAGAACATCCAGAGTTATATTAGTAAGGATTAAAAAAAAAACTTGGAAAAGCTATGAACACCATGCTTCAGGGCATAAGCCAACCTCTAAAGGGGGATATTAGAAAGAAACTGTCCCCTATTGGCAGATGATTCCATAACTATCTATTCCAGTCTTGCACTTGCCTGTGAGGCATCTGATACTGGATCAGATGGACCGTGTTGGTCTGTTCCATTATGGCATTTCTTACTCCTACCCAACTTTCTGCAAGACTTTGCTTTATATGAAGATTTTTGATGATGATGCCCCTCCATCTTAGTTTTGGAAAGACTTGGGAGTGTTCAGGAAGAGGAACCTAGAAATGCTGCTTCTGCACTCATATCAGTCCTACAATAATGGGCTTTCCTCAGTGATAACAGGGCTCTAACGATCAATCTTTTTAAATGGAAGCCAGGCCTGTTTGGTGTGGCTCTTGGTCCCCCTCTGGTGGTAGTTAGGCCAACTAGAGATTGATGAGCCTACTACAATCTTGGCTAATAGCATGGGGAAGGGGGTTAGCTCTGGCAGTAGAGGCTCATATGTTAACCTCCCAAAGGCCAAGGTTTGATTCCTTATAGTGACAACCCAGCCAGAAGGCACAAGTGTGAAACAAACATCATTGGATCTTAGCGCTTTAAAAATTGTGAAAGCAAACACAAAAAGATAGAAGCAAAACTTAAATCATATAAGCTTGTACATATGAAAAGCTAGTATTGGGATGGGTGCTTCAGGGCAATAGCCATTGTGTGTCTTATAGCTGTACATCTAAAAATTAGTACTTTCAGAAATTCTCTGATGAAACAATTTTCATTGAAACATTTTGCAGAGACGGTTCAATTTTGGCATGAGTCTGACAGTACCCAAGCAGGTTTCTGATGTGAATCTGCCTGGTTTCCTGCCAGCTTACCTGTCTGGCTCCTCAGTAGCCCACTTGGTGGGCTGCTGGGGAGTCCTGTCTTCCAGTTCTTCAGCAGCCAGATTGAAGCGAGACCAAATTTCTAAATCCTCTGCGAAAGAGAATTACTGATTTCTGCACAGTTGTCCTAAAAATAACAACTTGACACAAGTGAGCAAATATATTAGCATTTTTCACACTGTGCCCTTCTGCTCCATGCTTGTATGCATGCAAAAAACTCTATGTGCTCTGGAAAACATAGGCAGCTGAGATGATCTAATCGCCTAGAGAGCCCTTTAATAAAGGTTAATACATTCATTTAATGGAATAATTCAGAAGTATAAAATAGATTAAGCATTTCAATCTGATCAACATTAAGTCAAAATGGTAATCAAATTAAAATAGAGAAGTGTATTGAGTTTTTCATCTGGTATTATTTACAGCACTCCTGTGATAAGTCCAGATAATTTGGCTTTCCATGGACCATGTCAAAGATATTTGCTCATCCACTATTATCTCCTATAAAACAGTGTTAACATTTGTCAGCTGCACTATAAATAAGATATCAGCTTGTAAAAGAAAGCGGGAAAGAAAAATATGAAAATTATTACATGAAAATCATCTTGTTTAGAAAGAGGGAGAGAGCCATTGCCTGTTTGGTCAAAATTTCACAGCAGAACATATATCACATAATGCTTCAAAGACTGAAGTTCTCTATCTGGAAAGGACTCTTTCATCCCATGACTCAACTACCCACTATTTAACTCATTTCTCAACTTTTCTCCCAAAGCCAGATATCATACATTCACATTGGGCTACCAATATACCTTTTTTTCTGGCATTTCCCATGCCCTACTTTTCTTTCTAAACTATTAAATTACCTTTTCCATGTTTTCTCTAAGTTTTAGTGGGGGATCCAAGATGTATTTCAATGGGTGCTGTGACTGCTCTGCACCTCTGAAAATCAGACTACTTATTCAGGTGCTTAATGTTAGGCTCTCAAATTTGAACGTTTATTTATCAGGTGAAGCAAAGGCTTTCGCCATGCTTTATTTAGCTATTTGCAGGCTTTGCTATTTTTCACTTTTTATTGGGATGGAATGCATTATATTTTGTACATGTCATTCTACAATTTCAATTGTGAAGTAATGACCATGAAACAGATTTTAATTAGTAATGATTGTTGCAGACAACTCACCCTCTCCTTTTAGGATGTTTGACAACTATTGCTTGGGGTCTCTCTGGTTTCTTAACAATAAATGATCATTTAGGGTTAGGTTGTGGCTTTGGATTACATGGTCATGCAGAGGAGTAAGTCAGACCTCTGAAGTGTACCAGAATGTGCAGGATATTTCACACTTTGGTTCAGTTAGGCTGTCTGTTCCAGACCCGCGGGCAATATCAATCAAATTCCCTCTGGGATTAATACAATAGTGCATTTTTATATACTGTAGCATAGACACTTGCATGGTAGCTTACAATGAGAATCAATTAAAATCTAAAATGAAGACAAAAATGTTCTAAGGCAAGATATAAAGAGAGAAAACTCAGTGGGAAGACAAAGGTTGTATCAGATTCAATAACTGGTGTAGCACAGGTACAAGAATGACCTCAAATTTCAGACAGGCTCATGGAAAATATTGAAAGTAGACCAAGGTTGGAACAGCCAAATTAACTATTAGTGGTTATGTAGGTTTATATGAGACTGGAAAGCAAAACGAAGAAAGCAAGGAAAACAGTTTTGAATAGAATAGATGGAAGTTAGTGTCACGGGACAAAGAAGACTCCTTACACAGATGGAGAACTTCAGTCATTGAAGCACTCAGTAGTAACATATGGTGTAATCAGGAGCTGGCAAAGTTAAGACAGGCAGATAAATGGATAGGTATTAGCCAAGGAAGATGTAAAATGGAAAGTCACCTGCACAAATGTCCACATTTAAAGCTAAAGGTAGAGGGAACAGGCTCATGGAGAAGAATAGAGGGGAAAGGAGGAGATTTGAGGCACCTAATAAAATAAGTGATGAAACAGAAGATATAAGACATCCTCTAGAAATGAAACAAGCAGTTACAGAGGTAGGATTCAAAACAAGAGATGAGACTGCTGGATGCACTGGCTTCTGATCCAAGATATTTAAGAGTAGTACCAGACAGTTCAATAGACTGCCATGTAGACATTGAATAAAATGGGAAGAGAAGGATCCAGGATCAAAGGTAGAAAGAATTTTATTAACCATCTGAAAAAAGGGCAGGCTCCTTGCTGTGATTTACATCTCTTTTAGACTATGTGGTCATGCAGATGGAGCAGTGTGCGCTTCCCAGATTGAGAGAGGAACTTTCTCATGAAACTCACTGAGACATTATCAAGTGGAGACATGGCTCTCTCACACACAAGGCAGTTAAGACTCTTGTACCACCTTAGATCATCATATAATGGAAATTCTCTCTTACAGTAACTGGCATGTCCACTGGCAAAGGGTTTAACATAATACTCTCTTGTTCCTGTGAATCCTGCCTCCCCAACTCTCTCTCTCTCTCTCTCACACACACACACACACACGTTGTTGGGATTTGCTCTCAGGAATGATATATAGTGTTCACCCTGCCATCCTCCAAGAGATTTTTGCTGGAAAAGGGAAGCTATCAAGAGTGGCCAGGCCTGTACAGGAGTTTTACCAGTGGAGGCTGCCTGGGACATGGGTTGAATCAGTGCCTCCTTTAGACAGCTTGGCCCACTCTTTCCCAGTGAGAATTACCCAGGTTTGAGGCTGCACTGGCAGGCTCCAGGCCTTCTGGTTTGCAATTTTCCTCTTTCACAGCAAAAAATAGAAAATAGAAAACTACGTCGGGGTCGGTCCAGGGGCCAGTTTTGTTCAACATCTTTATTAATGATCTGGATTAATTGCACCCTCAGCAAGTTTGCAGATGACACTAAGCTGGGGGCAGCGGTAGATACGCTGGAGGGTAGGGATAGGGTCCAGAGTGACCTAGACAAATTGGAGGATTGGGCCAAAAGAAATCTGATGAGATTCAACAAGGACAAGTGCAGAGTTCTGCACTTAGGAAGGAAGAATCCCATGCACAGCTACAGGCTGGGGCTCGACTGGCTAAGCAACAGAACTGCAGAAAAGGACCTGTGGATTACAGTGGACAAGAAGCTGGATATGAGTCAGCAGTGTGCCCTTGTTGCCAAGAAGGCCAACGGCATATTGGGCTGTATTAGTAGGAGCATTGAGAACAGATTGAGGGAAGTGATTATTCCCCTCTATTCGACACTGGTGAGGCCACACCTGGAGTATTGCCTCCAGTGTTGGTCTGCACACTACAGAAGGGATGTAGACAAATTGGAGACAGTCCAGTGGAGGGCAATGAAAATGATTAGGGGGGCTGGGGCACATGACTTACGAGGAGAGACTGAGGAAACTGGGCTTATTTAGTCTGCAGAAGAGAAGAGTGAGGGGGGATTTGATAGCAGCCTTCAACTACCTGAAGGGGGGTTCCAAAGAGGATGGAGCTCGGCTGTTCTCAGTGGTGGCAGATGACAGAACAAGAAGCAATGGTCTCAAGTTGCATTGGGGGAGGTCCAGGTTAGATATCAGGAAACACTATTTCACTAGGAGGGTGGTGAAGCACTGGAATGGGTTACCTAGGGAGGTGGTGGAATCTCCATCCTTAGAGGTTTTTAAGGCCCATCTTGACAAAGCCTTGGCTGGGATGATTTAGTTGGTGTTGGTCCTGCTTTGAGCAGGGGATTGGACTAGAGGACCTCCTGAGGTCTCTTCCAACCCTAATATTCTATGATTCTATACTAGGGTGACCAGATGTCCCGATTTTACAGGGACAGTCCCGATATTTGGGACTTTTTCTTATATAGGGATCTATTACCCCCCACCCCGTCCCGATTTTTCACATTTGCTATCTGGTCACCCTATTCTATACTGATGAACTGCTAGACCTGTCATGCTCATAGGTTGTCTCAAGACCATTTATGCATATTATCTGGAGTAGCACATATCTCACAAGCACTTTTCACTTTGTTTCTTGAGCACAGAGTAGTCATAGATGTTATGCTCACCACAGTTTTCTTCATCTGCACCATTCCCACAGTCATTTACACCATCAGAGTGAAATGCTCATGGTAAGCATGTTGTAAAGTTCCCACATGGAAAATAACCCTTTTGACAGACAGGACTAATTGAGCTGCCTTTGATCTGCGAGGATTCTGGAAACATGAAAAAACAATGTCTGTAAATTAGAGCATGTCCCTAATCATAAGGTTCTGATAAAATAAGAACATTTATGTGCATTAGAACCATTTCATTTCTACTTCAAAACTCATTCTAGGTAATTATTGTTTGCTATTTGTTTTGTGGCAGCACCAGAAGCCACACACTGCCATTGGATTTTAATTTACATAGTTTTAGAGATTCTATTTGTTTTTTCATGACTTCCATCATTTGTAAAACTCTTTAAGATGCTGGAGAACAATTTTGTTTCCTGTATTGCAGTGATTTATCAACAGTTGGTATTCTGGTGAACACTGGCCTGTGATCTGATAGGCTGCTTCCATCATAGTAGTGACGCATATATCTATCTTCAAATGGTGATGCTTCCTTTCCACAGGGTTTACACAGGCTGTTTTGACCAACTAAACAAATGAAACCGGCCCACACTACAAAACACAAAGCAATAACCAGATTCCTTGCACCCTGTACAGTTGCTTCTATGTCATTATTTGTCAGGAATTTCTCTGAACAAGTACGTGTAAATTTGATCTAGTATATTTAATCTTGATTACATTGGTGGAAAACACCAAGCCTGCCATCCTGGAAACACTTACATAAGTGCTTAATTTTAAGCACCTGAGAAGTCAATTGGATAACTCATAAACTTAAAGTGAAGCACGTACGTAAGTGTTTGCAGAATCTGGGCCTAAATTTACAGGGAGAGGTTGATGGAAACAAAATGTGAAATGTTCTGGATATTAGAGCAATGGGGACAGTAGGCAGTGAGAGGAGATTCAGTGTCAACATATGTACAGTATGATAGCTTTGAAGAGTTAAAAAGAAAAGATAAGAAAAGAAAAGATGAAACTATGCAGCTACAACCATTTCTTAAAGTGAGTGTTTTAATCCTATTTAACATAGTCCTAATAATTCTGCACTTTCATGTAACTAAGCAGCATAATGGTTGGAGGAAAAGTATGGAATTGTGGTTGGGACAGAAGATGCTCCATGAGAGGAAAATGTATAGCTGATTCCACAGCATAACTTGATATCCCTTCTCAACATCTGGGAGACCCAGAGTGAGGGGGTACTATGGTGGGCAGAACCCCTGGGCAAAGGGCACCGGGGTCTGGGAGACACACGGGGCCAGCGGCAGGTGAGTCACCAGCCTGCAGAGGGCACTCCGGGCTGGAAAAAGCTAATTCCCGAGATGTCCAGCAGGAGGCGCGCGCCAGTGAGTCGTCGCACCGCCACACCTGGTTAAAGAATTCAACTTTGAATTGTTTGGGGTCTCCTATGGGATTATCCCGTGCCTCGTAATCAAAATGTCGTCTTCTTCGGTGACTCTTGTATTTGTGAATGGGTGGGAAAATAGCTTCAGTATGAAGTTCCTCTGCCAACTTCTGTGCACTCTTCAGAACGTTTGGAAATCCCTCATCTGACCAGTAAGACTGTAGTTATGACTTTGCTTTGTCCAGTTGTTCCATTGCTCCAGATATATCAAGATCAACACCTTGGAGTCTCTTGCTTACAACATTTATTTCAAACAGTATGTCATGCCACAACACTAAGCCACACAGAAATTTGAAGTTATGTATGTTTCTGGTGATTCCATTTCCCTCTG